GAAAGGAGGTTCTATGAATTCCAGCTAGTGCAAGAGCCAGATTTGGTTTCAGTAATTTTAGCATAATTTGTTGTAAGGTGATGATCCCTAGGAACTTCAAGACAGTGAGAAACCTGAAAGCTCTTAGCAGCCAGGAATGAATGAAAGGAATGAGTGAAAGGTGGGATGCGGTGGCTGGCAGGACGGGGCCTTGTGAGCCATTGCCTGGTATCTTGAGTTCCAACTTGGTAAGGGACACATAGAGGGGACTCTGGGCCTGATTGTTTCCTCTTAACCAGGATATGGCCTGGGTGGCAGGGCAACCTGCCTTCACCTGGTGGCCTTCAGTGGGTGCTTTCATTGGCTGCCTTTGTTTAGTGCCCTCAGCTGGTGCTCTTCAGTTGTTGGCCTTGAGTTGGTTTGGCAGTGGTGGAAGGAGAAGGAGCTCCGTCTGTGCTCTCTCCTCCCACAGTCACAGTTCTCAGGCTTGTTGCACCTAGGCCCATTCTAAATAAACCAGGCAGGTTTGCGACTTTTACAGACAAGTCAGCTCAAGGTAGGTGGTAAGGTAAGGTGCGAAATCCCAGAGGGATGCAGCCCCATAGCCTGGGGGTTGCTGGTGCCAGTGTGCCTTTGCTGGGAAGAGACGGCATGTTCTGAGCTCTGCAGACATGGAAGCAAGTGAAGGCCCAAGCTGCCTGAGAAGAGCAGAATTGCCCCAAGGAGAGCACGCTGAAGTATCTCATGTGAACCAAAGGCAGCACCAGACAGGGACGAAGCAGGGGTTCTGTGAAGCCATCCTGGGGCTCTGACATCCATGAGTGAAGGGCCAAAAAAGGCAGAGACACCAGCAGAGAGAAGCAGAAGAGCCCAGAACATGCTGTCCCACAATGCCAGCCCTAGGCAGGGGCAGCTCAGAGTGTGGTGAGCAGGACAATCCTGATGCTCCAAGATCTACAAAGTGGAGGTGGCAGTAGCTCCTGACCCCACTGCTTTGGAGCCTGCCCACTTGGGTTTGGGAGCTGGCCAGGGTCCTGACTTGCAGCACATTGGTGACCAGAAGACAACCAAAGGTAGGGAGGCAGCGAATACTGCTTGGCTCATCTATATGTTATTTTATGCTGATCTATAAAAGATTGGATATAGCGGGAGCTCCTGAGGCCACTGCTGACTCAAGGTTCCCCCCAAAGACATCCACAGCCTGGGGCTCTGCCTCCTGACTATGCTTAGCTTTCCCAGCCCCAGTCCCCAAGGAGGAAGACTGGCTCTGCCTCGAGTCCCCACCCATTCTTCTTTCTTCCTATCCCAATGCTGTTCTGTTTCCTCTTCATCTTGCCCCAGGCTACCTGAATACTAAGCATTCAAGATAAAAAAATGTAAGCTACAAATTTCATTGCTGTAGAGAAAATATCTGCAACTTTTCTAGTTATACTTAAGTAGCAACAGTGAGACTCAAAATTTCATATCTTGAATTCTAGACCAGACCTCTTTATCATAAAGCAATGTTAGAGGCACTATTCTTGATTCTAACCATATAAAATGATTTTTTTGTAGAGACAGGATCTCACTGTGTTGCCCAGGCTAGTCTCGAACTCCTGGCCTCAAGTGACCCACCCACCTTAGCCACCCACATTGCTAAGGTGACAGGCAGGAACCACCACACCTGGCCTTTGGAGGTGCTGTTGCTTTGTGTGTCTGGTCTTCCTGCACAGCTGTCAGGAAGATGCTCCTGCAGCATAGTTCTAAATCTTTCTGTAAATTTAGTGGATCCTGTGATTTTTTTAACATGGAATAGCCCTACGTTTTATAGAAAAACTAGACAGTTCACAGTTAGTAACCTAGGGCCTAGAAAATTTTATTTCTTGATCAACAAATCTCTTGGCCTAAAAAATGTCTTTTCTTAAAGCACCTGTTTATGAAGAGCTAAATATGTGGTCTAAATATGCAGCTTAGTTATCATCCCCAAGAGAAAGGGGACCACTGGAAGGCAACCTGGGAGGGAGCTTAGGATTGTTCTTAGGCCGTAAAAACCAATGAAATTCACACATAAAAGGGTAGAGAAAGGGAATCCACATGTTTTGACTCCCTCCATATGCTGGGTACAACTTAATCTTCATTATAGTGCAAAACCTTTCATGTCAGAAAGAACTGGATTTGAATCCCAGTTCCATCACACATTATGATGTGGTGGTGAATGTGTTTCTAACTCCGCTAAGCCTCAGTTTGCTCATCTATAAAGGATGTGAGTGTTATGTGACTTTCATAAGGTACATGGGTAAAAATCTGGCCAAATACCTGTAATTTAAAACATGGGTTGTTATGTGGCTTCCATAAGGTAAGTGTGTAAAAATCCGGGTACGATGCCTATAAACTTGTAAGTATTCAATATATGCAGAAGGAGGATTCCTTTTCTCTCATCTAATTTTTAGAGGAAGTTTATAAAATTGTTATATTTTGTAGTTAATCAAACCAAGAATCACAGAGATTAAATAAGTCGCCATAGTCACAAAGCAGTTCACAATACATACTGGGTAATTGTTAGCAGCAATGAGGATCACATTTAAAATATTAAATTATGTGGTGCTTTTCTCTTACATAAGCCTCTTTCTTTGTTGAAACCATGAATTTTAAGTTGCTCTATGAAAGTGGTCAATAGAAAATTGTGATGAAACTTAATGTATAAATTTTAGAAAATTTCTTCTATTAGTCTTAATTTGCTTGAATGTGTTATTTTGAAAAGACAAATTGAACATATATGTATTGAATACATTTGCGTGTGTGTGTGTATATATATATATGTGTATGTATAAAACTTTATACGGTAGCCTTAAGTCATGGCAATGTGCTTTTCTGAAAGCACATGCAGAAATCTGTCATTTTTCTAGTTCTGTGAAGCTCAGAGATTATGGGGGAAAGAGGTTCTAGAAATGCGAGGTTGTGCATGAGGCAGATTTGGTTTCAGTAATTTTAACATCACTCATTGTAAAGTGATGATCCCTAGGAATGTCAGCACAGTGAGAAACCTGAAATCTCCTAGCAGCCATCAATGAATGAAAGGTGGGGCAGGGCCAATAGCAGGGTGGGGCCAATGACAGGGCGGGGCCTTGGAGCCATGTGCCTGTGCTCTCAAGTTCCAAGTTTAGGGAGAGGCATGCAGGGGACTCTGGGCCTGATTGTTTCCTCTTAACCAGGATGCAGTCTGAATAGCAGGGCAACTGGCTTTACCTAGTGACCTTCACTGGGTGCCCTCATTGGTTGCCTTGGGTTGGCGCCCTCAGCTGGTGGTCTTCATTTTGTTGCCTTGAGTTGTTGGGCAACAGCGGAAGGAGCTCCATCGATGTTCTCTCCTCCCGTAGCCACATCTCTCAGGCTTGTTGCATCCAGGCCCCAGCTCAGGGTGAGTGGGGGTCTTCAGTAGGGGGTCTTCAGTTTATGGGTGGTAGTGGAGGATGAGGAGCTGTCTGTGCTCTCTCCTCCCGCAGTCATAGCTGTCGGGTTTGGTGCATCCGGACCCATTCTAAATCAACCAGGCAGGTTCCGACTGTTGCAGAGAAGTCAGCTCTCAGTGGGTAGGTGAGGCAGGGTGCCAGCTGCAAGTGGGTACAGCCCCATGGGCCTGGGCTGCCCGTGCCAGCAGTGCCTTGCCAGGAAGAGTCGGTAGGTGTGGAGCTCTGCAGACATATGGGCAGGCTGAGGCCCAAGTGGCCCAAGAAAAGCAGAGTTGCCCTATGGGGACCACGCTGACCTGTCACATGTGCACCAAAGTCAGCCCTAGGCAGAGCTCCCGCAGGGGTTCTGCGAAGCCATCCTGGTGCTCTGACATCTATGAGTGAGCGGCCAGTAAAGGCACAGATCCCAGCAGAAAGGAGCAGAAGTGCCTGGAACATGCTGTCCCCCATTGCCAGCCGCAAGCAGGGCCAGCTCAGGATGCGGTGAAGACAGTCGTCCTGCAGGTCTGAGATCTACGAGGTAGAGGTGACAGTAGCGCCAGACCCCACTGCTTTGGAGGCTGCCCAGTCGGATTTGGAAGCCAGCGAGGGTCACGACCAGAAGACACCCAAAGGTAAGAAGGCTACGGATACCCCTAGGCCTGAGGACCTCCTCTTGCCCTGCTGACCTAAGGTTCCCCCTAGAGGCATCTACAGCCTGGGAAATCCTCCCCCCACTCCTAGTTAGCTTTCCTAGGCCCAGGCCCCAAGCAGGAGGACTGGCTCTGCCTCAAGACCCCAAGTCTTCTTTCCCTGCTGTGTCCAGACGGTTTATTTTCTCCTTCCTACCCCAATGCCTAGTTCTCGGCCCTCTTCTTCCCACAGCCTGGCTGAAAACTAAGTTTCAAAATACAAAATGTATGCTACAGATTTCATTGCTGTAGAGGAAATGCCTGACTGCTTCTCTATTTAAATTTGGTTTTCTTCATTTCTTTTAAAATTAGAATAATTAAGCCTCATGACAGATGTGTCTTTGTAACTTGAAAATAATGCACTCAATTTTCAAAAAAATATTTTTCTTTTTATAAACTTTTGGCAAACAGGTAGTATTCAGTTACTTGACTAACTTCTTTAGTGTTGATTTGTGAGGTTTCAGTGCACCAGTCACCCCAAGCAGTACACATGGAGCCCAATTTGTAGTCTCTTATCTTTCTCCCCCGTCCCACCGTTTCCCCCTCAGTTTCCAAACGCCATTGTATTATTGTTTTGTTTTTGTTTTGTTTTTGAGACTGAGTCTCACTCTGTCACCGAGGCTGGGGTGCTATGTCACAATCTCAGCTTGCTACAATCCTTGCTTCCCAAGTTCAAGCAATCCTCCTGCTTCAGCCTCCCAAGTAGCTGGGATTAGAGTTTCAGGTCACCACACCTGGCTATATTTTTTTGTATTTTTAGTAGTGACAGTTTCACCAAATTGGCCACTCTGTCCTCCAACTCCTGGCCTCAAGTGATTCCCCCCCAATCTCAGCCTGCCCTAGGGCTGAGATTACAGGAATGAACCACCAGAGCCCAGCCAAACTTTCCCTTTTTTTGTTTGTTTGTTTGTTTATTTCTAATGTCCTGAACTCATTCTTTGAACTGTCATATAGATTAATGGGTTTCTCAAATTACTGGATAACTAAGAAATAAACAGGCAGAACAGTGGTGCTGAGCATGACTAAAGCATCTCTGCATTCACAGGGAGAGGAACTGAAGACCTTCTGGCATGGGCTGGGTGGCAGTTCAGTTGCAGGAGAAACAGCTCGAGTGTGGAGAGGTGGCCATCCTCCACTGGATGCTTTCTAAGGAGCCCCAGAAATCAACATAGAGCTTCTTCTATCTGATTCTCTCCCAAATGTAAACCTTCCATGAGTCAAGCTTTGTGTCAGAAGGACAAATTGAAAGGCAAGAAAATAAGATCACCAGGACTTTTGGTGAGAAAAAAAAAAAAAACTAATTCCAGATTATTTCAGGAAACCCCACATTTTGCCCAAATCTCTATTGTGTTGAGGACAATGTTTAAAAGTTGCTCCTGTACTCAGAGTAGTATGATTAGGAAAATCAACAATGTAATTTTTTTGAACGGAAATAGGTTTTCAAGGTTTATTCTTCAATTGTGAAAAGGTTTTCTAAAGTCAAACTATTCCTGTCCATGATCCCAGTTAATCCAGATCCTCCTCAGTGAGGTTTATCAAATTACTCACCTTCCTGAATCTCTTATAAAGTTTTGTTACAGAACCTGAGATTTTTCATAAGGTCTTGTGTACCATGTCATGCCTGTGAATTGCTTTTTTTGCTATATTTTTATTTTTTTGTAAGAAGTAGCCAGCAAGTATCTTTCTTTGCTTTAGACATATAAACTGCTTTGAATTTTTCAGATTAACTTGCAAGAATGTGGAAAATGCTTTGCACACTGTTCTTTACTGGCTTCCTGCCTCTCAGGACCTGTAAAAGGTACCCCTCAGCCCAATGGACAGATGCCCCAGGCTGCACATTCTGTCAGTGCTGTTCTCCAAGAGGCCCAGACACGTACTGAAACATGGAAGGTGAGGTGGATTTTGTTGTGTTTATATCTAGTTCAGGAATTATTGTCTTTTAACTGCAAGTTTCTTTTTACGTTTTTGAATTTTTTAACTTTTCACCCAGGCTGGAATGCAGTGGTGTGATCATGGCTCACTGCAGCATCAACCTTCTGGGCTGAAGCCAGCTTCTTGCCTCAGCCTCCTGAGTAGCTGGGACTACAGGCTTATGCCACCAAGCCTGGCTAATTGTTACTTTTTTTTAGAGATAGGAGTCTCACTATGTCATCTAGGCTGGTCTCTAACTCCTGGTCTCAAGTAATCCTTCTGCCCTGGCCTCCCAAAGTGTTGGGATTACTGGCATGAGCCACCCCTTCTGGTCTATTCTTTTTACTCTTACTGTAATTATGTATTTGTATTGGTTTTTAACATCTTATTTTGTACTTCCTGTTATCCTGGATTTGTCTGGGGTTTTTATCTTCCTTTCTTGTCTACTTCATGTAATTAGGATTTTTCTCTTACTCTCCTTTTTAAGCTTCTTGTTGAAAAGTTATATATTGTGTCTATTCTTTTAATGGCTAGTTATACTAATAACCTCAAGTTAAACAACTTTAACCTAGAGAATACATGGACTTTGGAACACTTTGGTTTCAAAAAAAAAACCACACACACATTATTGGCTAGTATTTGAGTTACAGCTGACTTACTTTTTTTTTTTTGAGACAGAGTCTCACGCTGTCGCCCAGCCTGGAATGCAATGGTGTGATCTCCACTTGCTGCAACCTACACCTCCAGGGTTCAAAGGATTCTCCTGCCTCAGCCTCCCAAGTAGCTGAGATTACAGGCATCTGCCATCCTGGCTATTTTTTTGTATTTTTAGTAGAGAATAGGTTTCACTATGTTGGCCAGGCTGTTCTCAAACTCCTGATCTCGGGTGATCCACCCACCTCTGCCTCCCAAATTGCTAGGATGACAGGCATAAGCCACTGCACCTGGCCCACTGATCTTTTTTATTGTCTCCGTAATTACCCCTTTTCCAAAATATCATATAGTTGGAATCACATAGTATGTAGCCATTTCAAATTGATTTCTTTTCCTGAGTATATGCATTTATGGTTCCTCCATGTTTTAGACTAAATCTCTTTTCTTTATGAATTACCCAATCTCAGGTATTCTGTTATGGTAAAAGAAAATAGTCCATATTTTCTTTTATGGACTATAAAAGAAAACCATAACAGAATACCTGAGATTGGGTAATTCATAAAGAAAAGAGATTTATTTTGGATCATGGTTCTGGAGGCAGTGAAGTCCAAAGGGCATGGTCCCAGTGTCTGGGGAAGGACCACTGACTGCATCACAACATGGCGGATCAGTAGAAGTGGGTGCATGCAAAAAGAGGGGCAAACCTGGAGAGGCAACCTTGCTTATGTCAACCCTCTCTTGTGGTAACTAATCCATTCCCATGAGAACTAACCCTGAAAGAGATTAATTCATTTTAATGACCTAATGACCTCTTAAACCACCTACCTCTCAGCACTGCCACACTGGGAATCAAGACTAAACATAAGGGCCAATTTATATTCAAAGCATAGTACTCCATATCTTTATCTTTGCACCGCTTGATAGCTCATTTCTTTTTTGTTTGTTTGCTTTCTTTCCTTTTTTTCTTCTTTGGAGACAGAGTCTTGATCTGTTGCCCAGGCTGGAGTACAGTGGCACAATCTTGCCTCACAACAAACTTCACTACCTGGGTTCAAGCGATTCTCTGGATTTATAATCTCCAGTAGCTGGGATTACAGGCACACCACCACACACAGCTAATCTGTGTTTTTAGTAGAGATGGGATTTCATCATGTTGCCCAGGCTGGCCTTGAACTCCTAGGTGCAAGCCTGAGGCTACACATTCTGTCAGTGCTGTTCTCCAGGAGGCCCAGACGCATTGTGTGTCAGCGCACATTCTGTGCTGAAATATGGAAGGTAAGGCCAGCAAGCAGCTGACACACATTCCACCCAGCCGGCCCCCATAAGCCCATGTTCTAAACCATTCACATTGTTCCAATAACTGCGCTTTTTTTAAAAGAGAAAATAGTCTGGGTGCAGTGGCTCATGCCTGTAATCCCAGCACTTTACAAAGCTGAAGCAGGAGAACTGCTTGAGCTTGGGAGTCCCAGACCAGTCTGGGCAACACAGGGAGAACTCCTTGCTACTAGAAAACAAAGAATTATCCATGCATGGTAGGGTGCACCTGTGGTTCTAACTACTCTGGAGCCTAAGGTGTTTGAACTGCTTGAGCTCAGGATTTCATGGCTGTAGAGAGCTGTGATTGTGCCACTGTAGTCCAGCCTGGGTGATAAAGACTCTGTCTTAAAAAAAGAAAAAGATAAAAAGGGTTACACTAAAAAAGGTACATTTTCTATTTTTCCCATTAATGTCCTACATACATCCTCAGGGTGATGGAGGAGAAAATACATTATAAGATAATAGCCAAATTGGAATGATATCCTTCATAACATTTTTTTCAATCAAATAGATTAGTGACGATTCATTTAAATCTATATTAAAATCATAGCTAATAATTGGATTTAGTTACTGATCTAGTTCATAACCACTTGGTTGACTGTATAAATTCTGTTGAAGATTTCTCATGTGTGATTCAGAAAAACTTAAATAACTATGTCAATAGCATATCACCGAGCTGGGACAGGCAGGGTGCTTAGCTTCAGCAATTTTTCACTTCTCTTACTCCTTCATTTTGTCCATCAGCCAGTGCTGAAAACAATTAAACCTTGGTATTTATTGAACTTCTTAAAATTCTGAAAAGCACTGCAGGCCTTTAAAAGTTGGATTTCCTTAATGTTCTTATCTTCTCATGCCTGACAATCTCTTCATGCAATGCACTTTCAGCTATTATTTTCATTATTTCAATATGCAAAGGAAAGCATTTAAAAATGCTGAAAGAAATAAAAATACCAGAATAGAAATCACAAAACTATATGTGAACGCCAATACCCAAGCTACCTGTTCAGAAATTTTTTAAAAAGTACATCACCGGTTAAGCTTATCATGCTAAGTAAATAAACAAAATAGAGACTAAATCAGAAGGCACTGTATTAGAAAAAACTTCCAAATTTAATCTTCAGTAGTAAAAGGCTATGAGGCAGAGGAAGAAATAAACTGGAACCCTGATAAAATGTAAACAACTGGAATGATAATTATCACTAAAAAGGAGGGATTCAATCCAGCTGCCTGGGAACATTTCATTATATAAATATAAATTATTATCTGTTTCAGTATTGGCAGAGGAAGGGCTACACCTCCACTAGACTTTAGCCAAATGTGGCGTTCTGGTTTCTACCAGTAACACACACTGGTGATTTTTCTTTTCAGAACTTACATATGTATTTCATTTGATATCATCACAACCTGAGACACAGGTCATAAACAGGGACTATGGTGCCCATTTTATACCCAGCGAACCAGCCAACTTTTGCAGTTGAGGAAAGGTAAGCTGTCCAAGTGAGGTGGCTCATCTGTAACTCCAGCACTTTGGGAGTCCAAGGTGGGCAGATCACTTGAACCCAGGAGTTGGAGACCAGCCTGAGCAACATGCCAAAAAACCATCTCTACAAAAAATACAAAAATTAGCTGGGTGTGGTGCCACGTGCTTGTCATCCCAGCTACTCAGGAGGATGAGGCATGAGGCTCACTGAGCCCCAGGGGCAGAGGTTGAAGTGAGTTGAGCTCACACCGCTGCACTCCAACCTAGGTGACACAGCAAGATCCTGTCTCAAAAAAAAAAAAAAAGGGGCTGGGCAGGATGGCTCACACCTATAATCTCAGCACTTTGGGAGGCCGAGGCAGATCACTTGAGGTCAGAAGTTCAAGACTAGCCTGGGTCAACACAGCAAAACCCTATCTCTACTAAAAATAACAAAATTAGCCTGGCGTGGTGGCACAGGCCTGTCATCCCAGCTACTTGGGAGGCTGAGGCAGGAGAATTGCTTGAACAGGGGAGGCAGAGGTTGCAGCCAGCCAAGATGATGGCATCACTGCACTCCAGCCTGGGCAACAGAGCAAGACTCCACTCAAAATGATAATAATAGTAATAAAAGTCATTTAGAGTCATTTCCCTATTCCAGAGCAAAGATGAGCTTTGAACAAACCAAATAATCAAAGTCAACATTGGCCAGTAATGAAAGCGAGTAACAGCAGATGACTCCAGATGCTGCATTGGAAAGAACCTGTGTGACAGCCCTGCCTGAAGGGCATAACCTGAAGCTAATCATGAGGAAATATCATACAAACAAAAATGGAGAGAAACCCTACAAAACAGCAGACCTATACTCTCCAAAAACATAAATGTCATGACAATCAAGTAACCGTCCCCGATTAAAGGAGACTAGAGAAACGGGACGATTAGACCAACACATCACACATAATGAAAACCCCCATCTTGAGTTTGCTTGGCTATCAAGGGTATTCTGGAGACAACTGGCAAAATCTGCATAAGGTCTATAGATTAGATAGTAATATTGAGCCAATGTTAATATCCTGATTTTGAATATTATACTACAGTTATGTAAGCTAATTCCTTGCATTTAGGAAATAAACATTATTTAGAAATAAAGAGGCATCATGTCTGCAACCTACAAACAATTCAGAAAAAAAAAATCTGTATTTAACTGTATTCATATTTATCTAAAAAGAGGAGGAGAAGGAGGAGAAAGGATAAAGTAAATGTAGTAAAATGTTAATATTTGGGGAATAATATCCAAAAATTCTTTGTACTACCTCTCATAATTTTTCTATAAGTCTGAAATTGTCAAAATAGAACTTTTTTTCATAATGATATGAACTATAACCCATTGAATAAACCATGAATCCATATTGATACAAGTAAATGAATAAATTGAGGGTTTGATGAGGAACAGAGATGTACATAGTCTCAAATTACCTCCCCATAAAATACTAATTATCCACAATGTGAAAAAATAACATTACAGAGGAGAAATTCAGCAGATACCACTGTTAGTGATCAATGCTAACACCGCCAGTAACAGGGCAAATCAAAACTGTATGGTCACAGGTAACATGCAATGAGATCACTGGGTCACTTCTGTGATACTCCTGCCAAAAAATCATACAACCTAAATCTAATCACCATGAAACCCAACTGAGGGACATTCTACATTACTGGACTTTACTCTTCAAAATATTCAAGCTCACGAATGTCAAGAAAAGACTGAGGAACTGTTCCAGACTGAAAGAATCTAAGAGACACAACAACTAAATACAAGCCATGGATTGGAATGGGATCCTTTTGCTATAAAGGACATTATAGAGAAGTAACAAAACTAGAATGTATTAATGTTGACTTTCTGAATGCAAGATTTGCACTGTAGTATGTAGACAGTCCTGACTTGTAAGAAAACCCACTAAAGAAATCAGGGATGATGGCATAGTCAGCAATTTACTCTCAAATAGTTCTAGCGGAAAAGTCTTTGTACTAAAACTTGAAAATTATCTCAAAATTGAAGGCTATTTCCAAAAGGTTAATAAAAAATAGAAAAGGTGAATTAGGCAAATCTCATTTCTCCCTGAGAAAAGATCTACATAAATCAGTGTTTAAAATTAAAATTATGTAAATCTGATGCGATGGCACTGTAACAACTGTAATACATCCACACATGAACAATGACCACAGTTCTTGCACAACAAAATGACGTCTAAGTCCAATTCTACCACTACAGTGATAAAAATTATAAAATAGAAAGAAGTCATCAATTAACTGCACACTATAAAGTATTAATGACAACTTCGTGATTTTGCTCTTTAAACAGCTGACATTTGGGCAGTTTGTGTATGTAAAACTCAATATTCCTGGTTTTCACTGGCAAAGTCCACTTAAAGACGCCAAGTAACATTGTTTAAAATACTATATAAATTTTGATCAGACACACATAATATAAAAATATTTCCCTTTAATAAAGATTTTCATATGTCATATATTAATATCTAATGAGAAACTATTAAAATGTCACGTAAACAACCCAGTAACAAAATTTTATCCTTCAGATCATATAATTTTTCTTTAAAACCTGTACATACTCTCTTGATGCTTTCCAAACTAGATCTTGATTTAGAATTGAGTCAGCAGTAGATCCTAGAGGAGAAGCCACTGATCCAGATTCCAATTCAGCAGCAGCTAGAATGAAAAAGAAGGAATTATACTCATTACCTAAAAGACTGCACAGTTAACTAAGTGGAAGTCAGTAAAAGAGTTGAGAATTTTGTCAGTGTCAATAAAGAAAAATCTGTTTATACAACTAATATATATATATAAGATTACTATTAATTTGCCCATGGTTGCACATTGAATTAATTATCCTTGTGGTTAATTATCAGAGCTTCTCTCACTCTTCATTCATTTATTCAACAACCATGTGCAAAGTAAGCACTGGAATTACAAGATGAAGATGATGCGGTCCACCTCTAACAAACATATGCTATAATCTGAAGAAACAAACATACAATTTCCATACAGAGTCACACACCACAACAGGCATAAGACAGGGTACTAACACAAAGAAGGGACACCTATCCCAGTTCTGAGTCAATACTGTGGGCTTTTTGATGGAGATAATATGTAGACTGATACCTGAAGGACAAGGAAGACATGGGCCAGATAGAAGGAAGAAGCAAATGCCCAGAGCTGGACCGAAGGAAGATCGCTGTGGAATTCCATGTGGTCTAGGGTGGCTGGACACCAGAGCAAAGGGGCCCAGAGAATAGCAAGGGGTGAGAAATAAGGTTGAATAAGGTGACAGGGACCACATTGGTATGAGTGTTTTTAATCCATGCTAAGGAATCTGGAACTTCTCCTGAGGGCAAATGGAAACCAATGACAAAGTAAATGGCTGAAGATTTAAAATGTTGCCTGTCAAGTGACTGCTAATGAACTGTAATTCCAGACTAAGTATTACTTGATGAGTCTGGGGTCTTTAGGCCTTAAATCACTACCATAATCCTGAGAAGTTGATGATGCCTGTGTTTTCTGAAAATAATTTCCACATGCTGGTTGACAGTTCTATGGGGATGGCAAAAGTGAAAGTGTAGAGCCAAAAAAAAAAAAAAAAAAAAAGATGCAAAGACTTTAAAGCTATGGAACATGATGAATTCATGAGACATAATAAGTATACTCTTCACTATGAATGTTTATGTTTCCACATCTTTCTTTAGATGTGTGTAAGAAAGAATATTTAAGGTAGTATCTATTAGCCAAACAATGGAAAGGGAAGCCACTCACGTAAAGTTTACTTCAGAAATTAAATTTAATTCATGAATTTTGTTAACATACCTTCTTCAAGTTCTCTAGTTATATTTTTTTCCAACTCCTGCTGCATCTGAAATAAATGTTATTTATGTTTAAGTTAGACAAGAGCCATTATCATGGGAATGATATATAACTTACAAAATGTGGCCTGTAATATTCTTAAAAGACTACACTTGATTGCTCAAATATCAAAATAATCACATAAATAAAATTCCTACTTGTTTTAAGTTTATATTTTAAAAACGTGTAATGTTGTTTAATCTGATAAGAAGTACAATTAATATTGGTCTATTGCATATACATCATTTCAGAAAGGTGATGTTTTCTCTTAGTAGTATACAAAGGTAATGTAACTGAAGTCATAGTTTGCAATGAATGCATTCTTAGTAAATGAATGTAATTCTTAGCAAAACTCTGACCTTTATGAAGCCTAATTAGTTTTTTCCCTTCAACGGATTTTTCCTTAAAATAAACTTTCCAGCCAGGCACAGTGGCTCATGCCTATAATCCTAGCACTTTGGGAGACCAAGGCAGGCAAATTGAGGTCAGGAGTTCAATACCAAGCTGGGCAACACAGTGAAACCCCCGTCTCTACTAAAATACAAAAAAAATTAGCCAGGTGTGGCGGCATGCACTTGTAATCCCAGCTACTCGGGAGGCTGAGGCAGGAGAATTGCTTGAACCCAGGAGGTGGAGGTTGCAGTGAGCTGAGATCGCACCACTGTACTGCAGCCTGAGCAACAGAGCGAGACTCCATCTCCAAAATAACAAGCAAAAAAATTTTCCATTCTCTTTTAGAAAATTAAAATTTTAAGTATGTTCTATGCTGTTTTTTGGTACAGAATCATCAACATATACAGAAAGAAAGTGATACTGTTCTATGTCATGTGAAAATTCTGATAAAGCATGTAAAAATAAATATGCTACCTATATATTATGAATAATATTTCTTCATGTAAACACAAAGATTTCAGAAGATATGCTCAAAAAACGATAAATATAAGTTACAGCTAGTTTTCAAGCTTAGTTTCTTTGACTCACAACTTTGAATTATAAACAAAAAATACATAGTTCTTTAATTGTAATTTTGATTTCAGACGTTAGTACCAATTTTTTAAACATGACTAATTATATTTATACACTTAATTACGAAATGTGTGGGAATATTTCTGACTATATTGCAAGTGTCCCATTTACAGCGTTCTTATTTAAATCTTTTTTATAATAGGTATTCTCTCACTAAACACCCAGAACATGGTCGGAAATAGTAGACTATATAGTGAGCATAATAGGTACTTTGTGGTGATGACAATATGATATCCAATGCCTTTAAAAATGTTAGGCATGAAGAAAAAAATTTTTGACTAACAGGTTTCCCAATATTTTGTAAGACTGTTTTCCATATAATTACATTATAGACAGGCCTTATAAAATGAATAATGTGACAACAGCATTAGTAGGTCCTATAAAAGTAATAACTCAATACCAAATAAAGGGAGAAGACTTTATTGAACTAATCTTATATTGCAATTCAGTAATAAACACAACGTAAAATATACATTTTTATATGACTTGGATTAAGGAACTACTAACGTAATGTAGTTCTTCTCCTAAATATTTACTTCCTATGTGTAGTAAATTGTATTATTTCTTTATACTGTATTTACACTTTCATAACATGTACATTTTGCTTAGATAAAAATGAAATACTCTTAACAAATTGCTTACCTTATGCTGAAGAAAACACTCTAGAAAGAAAATACTTCTTGCATAACAAATTTTAGTAGAGGTTATTTTTTTCCCCCTAACACTTAAAGGGTACCTGAAAGAAGTTGTTGCCTCTATTCCAGCCCTGGAGTGGCCTCCCACTACACAAATTCTCTTCCAGCCTTCATTGACCCTTGAAAATATATATATATATATATATATATTTTAGATGGAGTCTCACTTTGTTGCCCAGGCTGGAGTGCAGTGGTGCAATCTCAGCTCACTGCAACCTCCACCTTCTGGGTTCAAGCAATTCTCCTGCCTCAGCTTCCCGAGTAGATGGGACTAGGGCATGTGCCACCACACCCAGCTAAATTTTGTATTTTTTAGTAGAGGCAGGGTTTCACCACATTGGACAGGCTGGTCTTGAACTCCTAACCTCATGATCCGCCTGCCTCAGCCTCCCAAAGTGCTGGGATTACAGGTGTGAGCCACTGCGCCTGGCCAACCCTTGAATATTTTACCACATAAATGACAGTTGAGGGCGACTACCTTTGAGAAAAGGACACCAGGCCAGACATGAAGGCTCAAAGGGAAAAGGGGAAGACCCAAAACCCAGGAGGGAGTTGCTCCGGGAGGAACACCCGAAAACTGGCAAATATGTCTCTTATTTTATTCCTACTTTTCCATTAAATCACACATTTTCCTCATATTTCCCTTAATACAAATTTAGAATTATTGTCTCCAGTTAAATAACTTAACACAGTGCCTGATGCAGCCTATGGAAGGGAAAAGGAGAGAAAAATGTCTTGGTGGCATTAATAATTGTCCTATTGAGATAGACATGGTCCCATCAATGGTTTTTGAAATGTATAAAGCAATAGCTAAGGAGAAACTGAACACTGCTAGAGGAAATAAAAAAGCTTAATAAATTAGTAATCTCTTATGCTAATAATGCAGAATACAAAATTAAGAGCTACTAGGAGTAAAATAAACTATGTTTTATAAAATGCCCCTCCTTTCTCTGTGGCCTTTCTGTTTATTTCCAGGTGGGAACTATGTTTCAGATGGTGGGGGTAGCCTGAAGTCCAACATTACCCTGTCTCAAAAAAACAAAAATAAAAAAAGAATTATATGAGAAATCTGAAACCCAAAGCGAAAAAGACAACATAACTAACCTTGGTCAAGTATTTCTCCATGCTATTATTTGAAGTCCGTGGATTTGAGGTAGAGATCACTAAGTCTTCTCTTGGAATAAGTTTTCTGTTCACATCTAAACTATTATTAAGATTTCCAACACAAGGAGACTCCAGGACTGGCCTGGTAGTGAGAGTGGTGAATAAAGATCTGGTCTGCTGTTTTTCCACAAGAAGTTTGGTGTTGACCTCTGCTAGCCTCTCATTAGTTCTGTGAAGATTGCAGAAGACACATGCTTAGTATTTAACTTTTCCCTAAATGATTCCTAAGAGACTTGCATTTTTTAAAAAGTTATAAGAGTAAATGAAATTTCCCACTAAACAGTATTATAACACTGAAAATGTGTCAGAGCATGCCTACTATAAGCAACTGCAGTTTTTAGATTGTTCTAAAGAAGCACATATGTTTCTAGGGTAGTTTCCAACAAACAAGTAATTCAAGCAAAGTAGGGAAAGGAGGAAATGGCTATCAATGATGTACGGCTTCACAGATAACACCTGCTGCCTTCTGGAACAGGTCCACTGCTAAGATTCCTGAGGATGCCATTAGAAATACTTGTCTTTAAAGGGCAAATACGTGAGATGATGAATATGTTAATTTGCTTGACTATAATAACCATTTCACTATGTACAAATATATCAAAAATATCATGTACTCCTTAAGTACATACAATGAACAAAACTAAGAACAACAACAAAAAAAAAAAAAAACAGCTAACACTACTTGTATTTAGTAAACCAGTTTAGAGATTAAAAAAAAAAATTCCTCAAGACATGTTCAAGCATTTGCTTTCACCACCCTTTCCCTTTTACATTTATTTCACTCATTATCTGGAAAAACATTAGGCATCTGGCACCAAGAAATAATTCAGAGCAACAAATACTAGGGAAAAAGGAGACAGCTGAGTTGGCGATCAAAAAGAACTAAAGAGCCTCAAAGGTAGTTAGCTCCTAACATTGTTCCCAAGGCATCAGAGCCAGGGACTGCCCTCTGTTTTCCACACACTCCCTAAAGCTGACCAAGTTGTTATTTTTAACCACTTTATGAATTATACTTCCCTTCATCCCTATGTTAATCATTCCCTATTTCACTAGCATGCCTTCATGTAGTAGAAAAACTATACAGGCTAGTTTGTTTACGGAGCCCTCTAGTGATAACACCAGAGATCAAGGAAAGTTAATTTACGGAGTGCTAGAATGTGCAGAGTAGTAGTAATACTTGACCTTTCTGGTTTAAGTTGTAATTTTCAAAAAAAAAAGCTCAACTCATTAATAATTCTATTTATGGTAATGCTTACAAACAGTTTGATGACAATATCAATGTCTAACAAAGTTTCAAAAGCACAAAGCATAAAGACAGATCTAGTTAACTACATGAGAATACGAATGGAAAAGCCATATAAAATTTAAAAAACAGGGGAAAAACAAACTGTCCTGGACCTATATTTTAAAGGTAAGTTAATTTACTAGCATCACTTTCCAAAATTATATTACCTAGTTAGCTTTCATTTACCATTAATCTCATGAACCTGTCTCACTAAGAATTATGCTTTCAAGGCAAATTAGTGAGCTTAATTTATTTCCTATGATTCTATATTTTGACTTACTTGTTTAGTTTATTTGACAAGGATTTTCTAACTTTTAATTCTTCTAGATACAGTTGTTTATATTTTTCCAGTTCGGTTTTATTAAAATCTTCTTGAGAAGTTTTCATTTTGGAGAGTTCAGATTCCAGATCTTTAATTCTGAGTTCCATTTGACTTTTCATTGAAGCAAAATTATTCTCTCTTAACTGTTCCAAGTTTTCTTGAGATGCTGCTTGTGCCTAATAATAAATTAAAAACATATGTTTTAAAAATATATAACCTGAGTAAGACCAAGGCCACCTCCTCGGTATCTAAGGGCTGCTTTGTTTTTAAGCCAAACTACAAAAACAGATCTCTGTGTCAATACGCATTGGTCAAAGAGATAAGAGGACACTCCAGGACTCTAACTGAAAAGGGAACCCAAATACACCTTCCAAAGAAATGAAAAAGTGAGTTTCTACTAGAGAAGCATTTTGATCCTTGATGAAGTAATCAAAACAATAAAGGCTGACTGGCAATCCAGATGTCTAATGATGGGGGAAATAAAATGATAACTGGTAACATGAAAACCTAAGAAAGAAAACGAGTACAAATTTCTATATATTTTCTAATGAAAATTGTATAAAAATTATTTTTGTGTTAAAATACAATATTTGTGGGAAGACTTGAATATGCTTACAATTTTTGATGTGATAAAATTAAAGCAATCATCTGTATGGAACATACAGGACCTTAGGGCTTAGTAACTACATGTGTGTTAAGTAGAATATTGCATGTTCTAACTTAGGGATAAATGCTGTGCACATCAATACATATGTTGAGAAAAAAGGCCAAGATCTTGGATCTCTTACAGTAATTCTACCTGCTAGAGCACAAGGTTATGGAATCACCTGGAGTACAAGTAAAGGAATTTGGAATGTGATCCTGAGCCTTCCTGACTAGCTCTATGGCTTGGGCCCTGCTGTTTAACCTTTCCGTAGTTCTTCTCTTCATCTGTAAAATGAGAAATTATACTGGCTTATCACTAAGATTTCTCCCTATTCTCATTCCATGTCTCTAAGAGCTAACATGTAGGTTCATGCCTGTAATTTTTAGCACTTTGGGATCACTTGAAGCCAAGAATTCAAGACCAGCCTGGGCAACAAAGCAAGACTCTGTTTCTACTAAAAATAAGAATTAAAAAGTCAGCTAGGCATTATGACATGCTTCTGTAGTCCCAGCTATCCAGGAGGCTGAGTAATAAACATTTGTACTCATGAACTCTGATAATATAAAGAATAATGATATTAATTAAAACTTTCAAAAAGTGAACAACATAATTTAAGAACAATGGAAGAGTATGGTATAATTTCTAAATCACAATTTTTTCTTTTCCTGATGGTTTTGTTTTATGCCAACTGGTCTTAATAGCCAAATAATTCTCTAGTGAGAATCATTATCCTGAATGATTAATTTAGTTATAATAATGATGGGAATTGAAATATCTAAAGGGAGAAACAGATGCCATTTTCCTTCTAGAAATCTATAGAACAAATTGCTATAAGGGATGTAGAAGAAACACATACAGTGTATATGTCCAAAATACAATTTGCAGTGAATGAATGAAAGCACACTACATATAAACTAACCTGTAAAAAGAGATTGACTTCTTTTAATTTTTCTACTATTTCCTGTCTTGCTCTTTCTTCAATCTCCTGTTTATACTGTTTGACTTGACCATGTTCTACCATATTCCTTTCTATATGACTTCTGAGGTTGACCACTTCTTGTTCCAACTTCTCTTTATTCTTCTGTAGTTTTTCACACTTCTTCTGTATTGTTTTCATAGATAACAACTCCTGTTGAAGAACTTGATTCTTTGTATCCAGATGCAGACATTTTGAACCTGCAGTCTCCAGTTCTGCTGTAAGATCACCAATCTGAATGAAGATAAGAATACAGTGCGATAATGAAGGAAGTAGCCTGAGAACAGCATAACATAAAGCCAAGAACAAATTCTGAAATAAATTCAGTTGCCACAAAATGTCATTTGAACTATAAAATATTCTACCAATGTGGGCCCTTAAATTACTCAGAAAATAAAAAACAAAATTAAAGCCACCAGGAGTTACAAAAATATATTTCTTATTTTCATCATCTTTGCTACACTTGATCTTCAACTTACATTCTTCTATGATTGTTTCATGTCTTTCTTCCTTACATGGCTCTAAGATGTAGTAGAAAGTCTCTTACTGCTTCCCCCATAAAAATGCCCTAGAATTTCCAAAAAAGTTCTGGGGACATCCTATTATCTAGGCATCGTAAAAAAAAAAATGGCTCCCAGAATAAGACTTTTAAAATACGATTCTAATTAATAAATCTTGTAATACAGATTCTAATGCCATAAGCCTTTTTCTAAGCTGCAAATTTTTTATGCTAATTTGAGTTGCATTCTAAGGCGTAATAATTCTTGGGGTTAAGGCCACAGAATAAAGAACCTTGAAATAAATTCACGTACTTACAGCCAATTGATTTTAAATAAAGGTGCTAAGAACATATGTTGGGGAACGGACATCTTCTTTAATAAATAGTGCTAGTAAATTGGATATCCATATACAGAAGAATGAAACTAGACCCCTAACATCATATACTAAGGTCAACTCAAAATTCATTAAAGATGTAAAATACTAAGACCTTGAAGATGTAAATCTACTAGAAGAGAGGGAAAATGCTTCAGGACATTGGTCTAGGCAAAGATTTTATGGGTATTTTCAAACGCATAGGCAAGAAAACAAAAATAGACAAATGGGACAATATTAAACTAAAAAGCTGCACAGCAACAGAAATAATTAACAGAGTGAAGAGACAATCTTTTGCAAACTATTCATCTGACCAGGGACTAATATCCAGAATATACAAGGAACTCAACCCAACAGCAAAAAGAATAAATAATCCAATTCAAAAGTAGGCAAAAATCTGAAACAGACATTTCTCATAAGACATACCAATGGCCAAAAGTATATGGAAAAAATGTTCAACATCACTAATCATCATAGAAATGCAAATCAAAACCAGCAAGTGATACTATCTTATTCTAGTTAGAATGGCTACTATCAAAAGACAAAAAATAACAAATGCCAGCAAGGGTGCAGAGAACAGGGAACTCTTAGATATTGTTGGTGGGGATGTAAAGTAGTACAGCCATGATTTTAAAATATGTGAAGTTTTTCAAAAAGCTAAAAATATTACTGCCATATGATATAGCTATTCCACTACAGGGTATTTATCCAGGAGAAAGGAAATCAGGATACCAAAGGGATAGCTGCATTTCCATGTTTATTGCAGTACTATTCACAATAGCTAAGATATGGAATCAACCTAAATGTCCATCAATAGACAATGGATAAGAAAATGTGGTGTATAGAGATACATAAAGACGAAAACAACAGACACTGAGGACTCCAAAAGGAGGGAGGGAGAGAGGGGGGCCAGGGCTGAAGAACTTCCTGTTGGGTCTATGTTCAGAATCTGGGTGACAGGATCAACAGAAGTCCAAACCTTGGCATCATGCAGTATACTCTTGTAACAAACCTGCACATCTACCCTTTGAATGTAAAATGAAAATGGAAATTGTTTTTTAAAAAAAATAAAAAGGAAGGGAGGGAGGTTGTGGGGGCCAGGTACAGTGGCTCACTCCTGTAACTCCAGCACTTTGGAAGCCAAGGTGGGCGGATCACCTGAGGTCAGGAGTTCGAGACCAGCCTGGACAAAATGGTGAAATCCCATCTCTACTAAAAATACAAAAATTAGTCAGGCATAGTGGCCCACACCTGTAGTCCCACCTTCTCGGGTGGCTGAGGCAGGGGAATTGCTTGAACACAGGAGGCAGAGGTTACAGTGAGCTGAGACTGCGCCACTGCACTCCAGCATGGATGACAAGAGCAAAACTCTGTCTCAGAAAAAAAAAAAATTGTGTTGTATACATAGGATGGAATACTATTCAGCCATTACAAAAAAAGAATGAAATCATGTCAGTAACATTATGTTAAATAAAATAGGTCAGCCACAGGAAGACAAACATCTCAGGTTCTCACTCATATGCAAGTGCTAAAATGAAAACCAAGTTCATGGAAGTAGACAGTAGAATCATGGGTATTAGAGGCTGGGAAAAGCAGGAGGAAGGAGAGGCGGACAAAGGGGTGGGGAAGGGAGGAGGTGTTGGGTTGATGGCTACCAAATTAGAGCTAGCTAGGAGGAATGTGTTCTGGTGTTCTACAGCACCACAAGGTGAATAAAGTTAACTATAATTTATTATTGTGTATTTTCAAAAGCTAAAAAGAGAGGATTTTGAATGTTCACAAGACAAAGAAATGATAAATGTTTGAGATGATGGATATGCTAATTAGCTTACATTGTATACATCTACTGAAATATCATTCTGTAGCCATAAATATGTATAATTTTGTGTCAACTAAAAATAAAAGGAAAAATATTCATCCCATGATAAAATAGAACATGGGCCAACCTCAGTGACTCATTTCTCATGAATAGAATGTGGTACAGGTAACAGCACGTGACTTTGGCATTAGGTTAGAAGAGATTCTCTATCTCAGACTCTTTGCCCTTGGAACCCAGCCCTGATCTTGTGAGGAAGCTCAGGACTTGGACACATTAGTACACAAAGCAGAAGACTCCAGTCCCCCAGGCTCTGAGCCAGGGAACCTGAGGGGAACAGAGACAAGCTGTCCTGGCCGAGATTTTCCCAAAACACAGGTTCCTGAACAGAATAAAGGTTGTTGTTTTAAGCCAGTAAATTTTGGGTACTTTGTTAGGAAGCAATAAGCAGAAAAAATGTATTTTACAAAAAGAGACAATAAGAAACATAACTAATATCAAAGGAATTAGTCTCATTTAAAGTAGAACCTAATAAATGTAGAGATTAATTTATTAATGGCAAACAATGACAAGCAGATAACCAGGAGAAAGTGTAAGAGCTATTGAGAAAGTTTTTTCTAAAGTTCCCTCCAATTAGAAATTTTTATAACTAAACAAGCGTACCTCCAGAATTTTCCCTAAAGAAATAACACTAAGAAGCAAGGAGACAAAAATATAACAGCTGAAAAACAACTAGAAATATTTATTTTAATAACCAAAATCAGGAGTCCTGTCTGATTTCAATTAACTGAAATTCTAAAAAAAAAAAAAAAAAAAAAGCAGCTTTGAGTATTTTTTTAAATACAAAGAAAATTTTATTTGTATATCAAAGACTCTAAGAAATGATGATATAAGGTTAAAAAAGTTGATGTCAAGAAACAAATAGGTTTGAAGTTACAGATGATAAACACTTCTGTTTCATTGAACCTTCCCCTGATTACATTAGAGTACATCCCTGGCATGCTCACAATGGAATCTTAAGCATGATGGGTCCAGGTGATACAGTTGTAATTCCTTTCTTAGTCCTCGTTCTCTCTTTCTTTTTTCTTTTTCTTCTTTCTCTCTGGACTAGGAATTGTTGTGCTGGTACATGTTCTTCCTCACAAAGTGGTTCTTCCTTAATGTTTTTCTTTTTACCCTTCTTCTTCTTCACAGATGTTTCTTCTTCTACCACTTTTTCTTCTTCCCCCTCTTCTTCAACTTTAATTTTGGCTTCCTTTGCTTTCTTTTCAGTAATATCATCCTCTTTATCTACCTGTTCTATTTTGCATTTTTTAGAACCGGTTGGAAGTGTGGAGTCACTAGAAGGATCATAAGTCTTCACTTTTGTGTTCACATTTTTCTGTTTTTGCTAACACCTTTCCTGTTCCACTTATTTTTCTTATCCCTCTATCTTCCAAAGTTCTTAACCTGGCCTCTAATTTGGCTCTGTTCTCAACTCCCATCGCAGAACTGGAATCCTCACCAAAAGCATCATAATGGATAGCCACAACAGTTTTGGCTGCAAGCATTCAAGAAGTCTTTCCTTTGTGCTTGGGACTTGTCTGGCCTACAAGTGAAGCAAGATAAATGACACCATACTTAGGGATATCCCATCTAGGTTTGAGGGCTCTGAAATGTGCCTTTTCTGCTCCAAGAATTTGAATTATAGAAGTTGCAAGAGTAGCCAAATTCAAAGGAGAACCAATAATGCTATGAACTTAACCACGAGACATATTTTTTAAAGTGCAACCAATACATACTGCCATCACTGCTACAAGTTTAGCTATATCTATGAAAATAGGTAAAGAAAATGAAATCATCTGATCTTATAACTTCAGGCACTTGAATGAAGTCTTCGATTAATGATGCAGGTAAACGATTCATACCAGACCTGGTGCTGTGGCTCATGCCTATAATCCCAGCACTTTGCAAGGCTGAGGTGGGCGGATCACTTGAGGTCAGGAGTTTGAGACCAGCCTGGCCAACACGGCAAAACCTCATCTCAACTAAAAATACAAAAATTAGCCAGGCATGGTGGCAGGTGCCTGTAACCCCAGCAACTTGGGAAGCTGAGGCAGGAGAACTGCTTGAACCCAGGAGGCAGAGATTGCAGTGAGCTGAGATCCTGCCACAGCACTCCAGCCAGTGCAAAAGAGTAAAAATCCATCTCAAAAAAAAAAAAAAAAAGTTATGCCATTTTAAACATGCTGTTAGCATTTTTAATTATAGCTTATCATCCTTATAATATTGCCATACATGTATACGTTTTATTATAAATCAGTTGCTGAAAATATTTTTGAAAGTCAAATATATTACAATTGCACACTGAATAGTGAAACTAAGATAATCAATCAAGGGTATATATCCTCTACAGTGATTTCTTAAAACTGTATTCAAATCTATGTCTAATGAGTTTATTATTATGAGAATGTTAACTGTTTTATCCTCTTATATTCATCTGATTATTCTAATTAACCCTAACAAACTCCTCACAATCTAGTGTTCAATCTTCATTTTCCTTTCC